ATCATCATCATCATCATCATCATCATCATCATCATCATCATCATCATGCGACACTCTCGTGACTAAGGCCCTACGACAATCCTTATGATGTGGGCATCTATCAGAACGTGTGCGCGGTGCTTGGAAGCTCGCCCTTGGTTTGGTCAGCTTCTCAGGTTCTTGGGAGTGGTGTTCGCGTGTTCTCTTCTCGCTTTTTTTCTGAGAAAGCATCGTGTAACAACGATTTTCAGCCAGGTATTGTGACAACAAGGTTGAAATTTGAGGATTTAAAGGGACCCATGCAGAGATACAGAACATGACCAACCTGGGCTCCCGTGATGCCTAACCAGGTGGGCACCTGTGGGTGGTCCAAGTGGCAATGGCATTTTCTTTCCACGCAAAGGAGCAGAGCGTCGCAAAGCTCGAGCCGAGCGTACCTCCACGCTGGGTCGCAGAACGAAAGTGTTCCCGTCGAAGAACAGGCAGCCGAGGTAGTTATATAGTTGAAGAGTTTGGAAGCTGTGAATGGAGATGAAGGGAGTGTTTGCAGCGGAATCAACAGCTTGGCTCGATCCGGTCCACATGGCTGAATGCGACAGTGGCATGTGTTTGCGACGGGTTGCGTTCACCAGGAGTACCAGAGCACTTTGTGATTTCGGATGAGAATGAGGACATGGCCTGTGAAGATGCCGCCATCATAGATGGTCAGCAAGCCTCTGCAAGAGGAGTTATAGATAGTTATAGTATATAGAACCACAGCAAGTGTTCATTCGTTTGGGATACACTCTGACTCACATGGAAGTGAAAAATGTTCCCTCGGAAGACTACGCACTTTCCCCTAGAAACAGGTGTACTTCCATGTTAGTGTATTCCTTTGTTGTTGGAAAACTCGCCAAACTTTGCAACTTCAAATGCCCGTCCTACTATGACAGCGATGCCAGAGGCGTCTGCATGTTCGTGAGCAGAACAGTGATAAACTCTCCCTAAATAAAGGAAGTGCAGTGCAGGGAATCAAATTCAGCTTGCCTCCAACCACCCAACGAACTTCACTGGGCATGTTTTCGTTTGCTTTGTCATGCCCTCAGATATTCCTGTCCTTGTTTTAGGAGGATCCTGAAGCTGCTCATCCTGTCTCAGAAGAAGGCGAGTCGCTTCGTGGTCGCCGCCTGGCTAGCTCAGTTTTTGGCCAGTCGTGAACCCACCAACTATGACTTTTGAAACACGTCACGAAACATGTCCTAATGACCGTGTGAATGACTTTACAGGTCATTCATTGAAGCATGGTGTTGGTAGATCATGGTATATATCAGATGCCGTTTTTGCATCCGCCTGGGAGCCTTCGTTTGTTTTCGGAATTTCCATCGAAGAAGCATGGCACACTCCGAGCTTCATGGCACACGAACAGAGCCGAACCCAAGGAACTCATGCCGTGGACACCCAACACCAGTTTTGACTTCAAACACACGGCCCATGGCAGCGTGGTTCCCTGTTTCGCTTGCCTTGGGCAGAGTACAGTAGCCAAGTAGTTTTCACGTCGGCAGACTTGGCATCGCGTTGGGAGGTAGTGAAGCTGGCAGTGGACTGGAGGTGAAGGAGGACTGAAGGAAGTGCAGGAACCCATTGGAACATATGAACTTAAGGTGGGGATTCAGTGAGGCAATTCATGGCAATTCCTATCACACTGGACAGGGTTATTGGTGATCTCGCTGCTGATAAACAATCATGCAGCTCGGCAAACAATGATTAGATAATAGGAAGCACCGGATCGAAGTTGCGTTGGATACGTTGCTGGTGTCAAACAGAACAGTCCATTACATGTTCAGCAATCCTGATTTGTAAAGTAGTACTTAGCACAAGAGTGTTCAAGTGTTGCTCCTCAACACCATTCGCATGTGTACAAATTATTACAATCAATTATAGATCCAGTCGGATAAAAATTATCATGCCACGAAGATGAGTTGGAGCAGTTATGATAAATTACTATTGGACTGGTAGTCGTACTGTCATGCCGCAAGCACACACAAGGATGCCTCCTGCAACTTCTTCGTGGAAGTCTTGGGCAAGGGGTATCAGTTTGTGCAGCAAGTTGTTTTACTTGATTCAAATCCAACGCATCTATATATATATATATGCATGTCTAGCACCTGCTGCATTCATCTCAAGTTCATGGTTTGTTTTGAAAGAATAAAGACTGCTCGTACAAATCCTGGAATACTGGTTCAGTTTCAATCAATGTCAGGAGTTTTTCCAAGTTTGTTAATTGCATTTCCCATGTGTTTTCCAGAATAATAACGTTGGAAGAAGCTCAAAAGCTACTGCACTCAATCAAAGTCATGTGGTATATATATTTTTCGGATTTAAGATGATTTAAGTCATATAATGTCACACATGGCATATCAAAGATCCATATGATGTAAAACATCAGTTTTTTTTAGCGGATGGGTTCTTTAACTGTTTGGTTTCTCATTTGTCGGAGGATGAGTAGACTGAGACGACCAGCTGTCCGAGGTTTGGGTGGATGCGGCTGAATTCACCGATGACCTGAAGGTGGGCTGCGAGGCGGGGAGACGTCGGACCGGTGGAGCCGGAGCCGGACCGATGTGTCCAATGTGCCCCCCCCCCATGATCCTGGATGGTTCACATCTCCAGCCTGAATGGGGGTATAGAACGCATATATGTTCCAGAAAGTTGTGCATTCTAAAATACATATATATGTTCAAGGTCCCAAGTGACTCCAAACCTGATACGTGCCGAAGAGAAGGGTACTGCTGCTGGCGCTGAGCTGGCTAAATCTTGAACATCCACGGTTTGGATGGGACGAGCCATACCACCCCCGCCCATGGAAACTCCTTGTTCAAAAGGATCTTGGAGAGCCGAATGTAGTTACACTCCCTGGAATTCATATGGAAGTTGAACATTCTCTCCTACAAAGGAAAATGATCTTCCAAAGCCGTGGCATCCACTTCCATGTTAGTTCCAGATGTTCCAGCGAGTGTAGGTGATGGAAGTTTCTTGTGTGCCTGCCAGTCTCTTTGATTGGACACCTGAGTCTTCGAGGTTAGGGTGACCGATCTTATCCATCAGTAAGGTTGCCATGCCAGTTCAAGACGGTTGCAGCCATCAATCCGTTTTTGTTGCACATGTTTTGTATTGCAACGTAGCGGGACCTGCTCAGCTTGAATTCCAGACATTGCTTAAATTATGGGAGGTGGGTGTTCACCAGTGGGAGTAATTAATGGGAAAATGCGGACAAGTGTTGATTCCGGAAAACATATACAACTTACAACGATTAGAGTAATGCGCACACCGGATTAATCAACCCTCCCCCCCCTTCAAGGTCAACAAGGTTTGGGATTGGATGGATTGGAGACAACATCCCCTTAATAAAGATGATGACCTGATGATGGATGATGAGATGAGGACAAGATTGGGAAAGATTGGGATGATTGATTGGGATGATTAGGAAAGAGATGAAGAGATTGGAAGACAAGATTCTTTCTTTGATTGGGATGATTCGGAAAAGAAAGATGATTACGGGATGAAAGAGATGGAAACAAGATGGAGGCCAGAGGGTGGGCTTGATCAATAGGGGGAGGGGTATTAGGGGGTGGTAGGGCCTGTGTGAGGGGTACCCTTTGTGAGCTTGAAAACCTTAATATGTTGATAGAGTTTTAATAAGGAAACATTAAAACAATTTGCTAGCAAGTTTTTTGATTTTAACAGGGAAGGAAGGATGAGAAGAGCAAGCAGGATGAGAGGCAAAAGGACGTTGATAATGATATATAATGATTGATGATTGGTGGAAATTGAATACTAGCAAAGAAGAACGTAAATACATACCAAAAATATGAATACAGTTATATTGTGTTTTTTTCTGGGGGAGCTGGGCTTGATTAATAGGGGGGGGTTCTGGCAAGGAACAACAATTATCAGGGGGAGGTTGCAGGGTTTTAATTGGTTTAGTATTGGAGGCTCCAGCTGGGCTTGATTAATAGAGGGGGGTTCCTTAATCCTGTGTGCGCATTACTACATGCTTGCATCATCATGTTCGGTGCTATGAATATATTCACCAGTTGCTGTTTTTGGATTTGTACATGGAGTGCTCAATAACGTTCTGACGCAAGATGACGTGAGCATGTGCTTTAGGCGTCAAAGAAAACCAAAAAGGACAATTAAGGTTCTATTGATTCAGTCTTGCCGCAAGTGAACACGCACACACACACACATACAGTTCCATGTCCGGGTGCCGAACGAATGGAGGGGGTTTTCGGGGTGCCCCGCTGGATGAATTTCAACATCCACAACTCTGACCTAGAACTGCTCAACTCTGACCTTGGCGCAACTCTGAGGTGATCCTGGAGACCGCAGAGGATGCCTACTTGTCCGCTTGGCGCCTCCTAGCGACCCGATCGGGAATTTGGGGAGGTGATTCCATGGCTGGATGGACACTGATGGAGTTGGAACATGCACTGCGAGTGGGTGTGGGACTGTCTTTCACGGAGGAGAGATAGATAAAATATGATAAAGTGAACAATGCATTTGTGGCAATGAGGGAGTCTAGAGGCAACTATTTTACTGTTGTTCATTGAGTTCCAGGCCCGTGAGCAAGCAAAGAATCTCGAAAGGTCAGCAAAGCATGTCAAAGCTAACTTTGTCGTTTCTCGAGTGGGTTCATACAAAAAGCTACTAGTAACAAGTGCATCGCTTCTAGTAACAAGTGCCTTACTAGTAGAAACAAGAAGCTAGTAGAAACAAGAAGCTACTAGTTTGAAGACCGCTCGGAAGCAGCCAGGGGATGCCATGGGTGTTTTGCCCTGGCCCTACACGCCTTTGGTACGACAAGTAGTGGGCAAGGCCTTCGTTCGGTTGCAACGTAAAGTGCAGAACACATGTCTTGAAACCTTCGATCTGCTGAACCGAACCTTGGTCTGGATTCAGGCAATAACGATTTGCATGAGTCAAGTCTCGAACACGTGTTCCTAGACCGCGTTGACGGGGACCTGTGACAATGCCCACGTCCAAGCATAAGCGCCAACTTAATTCAGGTGAGGTTCCAACCACGAATTGATGTAGGGTTCTGACTTAAACACACTTAAACAATGTTAGGCCAACGATGCCAAAGTCTTGGGGGCAAGTATACGTAGTCTCATTAGCTTCTTGCTTCAAGGCAACATTTCTTCCAGTGGCAAGTTGACCTCTGACCCTTCCTTGGCCCTTCCGCCCTTCCGTGACATTGACGTCTTTGGTGATCGATTTGGGGCTTTGAAGCGACCTCTTCCACCGGCCGGCCCGAACGGCCCGAACTTCGATCCCAGTCGCGCTGCCGTGGGCGACCACGACGGAAGGTGGGGCGGTGATCGGACAGAAGTCGTTGAGCCGATGGGACATGGCAAGCGACGTGGTTGACGTGGTTTCTAAGACTTCGATCGGGGGTTGCTGCGAAGTGTTTGCCCTGTTTAGAATTCGTTGGATCATTTTGGGATCCCTGGGGTCACATTGGCACAGGCAAAGCGTGCAGAGCGCATGTGGAAAGTCCAAAACAGCTTCATGCCTCAGTGGTCGAGGGCTTGCCATAACTGCATTGCCGTAATATGACGTGACATATGTACAAGGCTGCTAGTTTGTCTTGTGGGAACACTGCAGGCGTTGTCTCCCCCTCAAAGCCCTCACAGAGCATGACGGTAGTTGTTTTTGACCACTTCCGGCTCTTGCAATGAGTTGGCCCCCTTCGTCGCAAAGTGAAGCAAACTAGATTGTGCCAAACATGATTTGATCTCAAAGAGGAGAATCCCTTACGCCAAGCACTCAGATCGCTCAAAGCATCAAGTCTACCCGGTGGATGCTCCGCAAGCAAAGTCTTTGGGGCATTCATTTGGGTTGCACTGGTTTCAGAGTAGACGGCACTGGCACCCCAAGAGGTCTTTTAGATGGGGTCCATACAATTGACCTTGTGGTGATTGTGCCATGTACTCTGAAACCATTGCCCTCATTGCCCACTGCGGAATGCACAGCTGGGAACGCCCCGGGCGCGGTCTCGCGTCCGATAAGACCGCCCTGCCAGTCCAAGCGCGAGCCAACGGAAGTGCAGGTGAGAGGGAACGTGCGATGCCGGAAGTGGTGAGACGATTGGAAAGTTTGCTCCAATCTGCCGTGCAAAGGACTGTATAGTAGTTTCTTGTTACTAGTAGACACTTGTTGCTAGTAGCGATGGCCTCCAGCCAAATAGCGATGGCCTCCAACCTAGTAGCTTCTTGTTACTAGTAGTAAGGCGCCTTGCTACTAGTAGCGATGCACCTTGTTCCTAGTAGCTTCTTGTTACTAGGACTGTGAGCCCGTTTCACCCTGTGAAACCATGAGAATGGTCCATGGCAGTCTATTCGGTTCTTATTTGTTGTGGTCAACCAGTGGTGTCCCGGTTTTGACCCACAGCCAAATCAACTGTTTCGACATGTTTCGACCACATGCTTTGGGATACAAATATTATATATATATTATATAATATATATAATACTATATGCTTATCACTGATCACCGGCATTTTGCGATTGTAATTGTAGGAAACTTTATAATAGGATCTGTTCGTTGCCAACATAAATCCCGAAATGTTTTCTAGTGGTCCAAAAAAGCAGTATGTCACCAACATGGAATGAGTCTCCCAAGAGTGACGACTCGTTGGGTGCGTGTCATCCGGGCCTTCCGCCCCCAGGCGAGCGACGACTCGAGCGACTCCAAGTCCGAAGGTGGGGCCACTACGATGACGGGGAAGATGGGAAGATGGTCAAAAGCTGAAGCCCCGACCTCCCAGGTAGGTTTAATATATGTATATCCGTAGGTATCTGAAGACTCGGATGGCCCACTGTCCGAAGACGGTGGTTTTCACTCCACTTCCATGATTATTCCAGGAATTGTAGTAGGAAGAGGAGAAGGAACAAGGAACAGGAATGAACGCATATATGAACGGAAATGACATGACAAAGAAATGAAAGATATGCAAGGCAAATGACATAAGTCAAAGGACATGATGGAAATGCAAGTAAATAAGTGGAAGAAAGCGGAAGTGAATCACAGCACACAGAACGAACATGAAAACCACTGGTCAACCATGATTATATAATCTGTGCCAAAGCAGTCATTTTTTGACCCGGCGGAACTTCCCTGCAAATCCGGATCAACATGGCAGGCGGTCCCCTGCAGACGAGAAACAGGAAAGGGGAGCACAAGAGCAAGAGGCAAAGAAAAGAAGCGGAATAGGAAGATGAACAGGAAAAGCAATAATTAGGAAAGGACACGGCATATGGGGGGAAGTCGAAGTCAAATCCCTTCAGGGGACCTTCTAGAGCGCGAAGCTACCACACAAAACAGTGATATAAATAACATAACCAAGACCACTTCCGCCAGCGCGGTCCCCACTTCCCAACCCCCCAGACGGTTGGCAGGTCGGGGCACCGAATCTCGCACCACTCCCAAACAATGTAAAGGACTTGAGGAAATCTCAGCGTCCCTTCGAGTCAAGGAGTTTCCAGCAAAGGAATGTGCACGTGTTTAAATCTGGAGGGTTGGACCAGATTCATTTGAGGGGGCTGGGAATAGATTTTTGGGGGTGAAACTTTTTGTGAGTTGAAACTCTATATATATAGAGATACAGTGTATGATTATAACTAACATTATTTATATACATACATATTATATATATGTTCAAGAGGACAGAATGAATTTCTGGGTGTCGGTTTGGGATTCTTGGTGATTGTGCTTAGTCATGGAGGAATTGGAAGGTACAAGACTTATAAGATCAATTCTTGAGGTGCACGAATTGCAAGGTTTGAGAAGACAAGGGCACAGGACGAGAGATTGGTGAAATTCAAGGGATTGAAGAACGGGAAGAGGGGCGGTTACTGTTGCATGAACAAATTGGCCCAAGAAGTTGTTCCAAAACGGGCCAGAAGGCTTATGAAAGCCGGTTGGTACTGCAGGAAAAAGATTGGGCCACACTAATAGGGACATGTGTGTTTGATCATGTATGGAAATAACACCTTTGGGCGGGAGTTGGCACTTCCAAAAGGCCTTTGTTGGCTATACAGCCGTGTTGCTGTGCCATGCTGCGCCACATGTTCAGGCGAAGCCTTTTTATGTGTTTGAAGAGCAGACCGAGCAGACAGCCCGGGCGTGCGGCCAATGGCAGTCACAGCAGTCGCTGCTGGTTGGGCATGAAGTTTACTCTTGCACTCTTACAATGGTGGTATTTGAGCACTGGAACACCTTGTCTCATTGTCTCATTTTCTGCGGATTATGGCCCCCATGTACCCTGAGAACTGAACAGGGGCTTGCTTTCTCATTCAAGCCAACAGTATTCAAAAGATGTCAGGGACACTCTATAATGACCCATGTGTTTGATTCTGTTCTCTTTCACTGGTGTGATTGGTACTTACAAAACCATTGTCTTGCATATTTGCATGAGTGCCAGACAGCAATTGCGAGAGTGCGGAACGTTTCAGCACAAAAGTGATGAATTCAGCGTCATCGAAATGGGCGTTTGGCTGACTTAAAAGACGTTGGTGAACTATAAATGAGATCTGTATTAAAACAGGGAGACCTCCCAGGCGTTCTTCTCTCCCCTGAGTTTGGGAACCGGGAAATAGGCTGGCGCCTACCCAGCCAGGGGCGAGAAAGGGGTCTCCCATTAACATACACACCCAAATGAGGATGCACACTGTGCAACCATATGACACATGGAACGAGGTCCAGAAGATCTCATACACCGATGTAAACACTAAATTACACACCATACGGGTCTCATCCACAACAAAACGTGCACTCGCTTGCAACAAACATCATGCTGAATAGCACGGGCTAATTGACACAGAGAGAGGACCATTCACTACTTTGGATTTCGCGGCTTCCTTTTTTGGCTTGAAACGCAGCCATCACCGCAGCGCTGCGCTCAAACGGACGCCGTCTACTCGCCATGCGGGAGGAGTTGGTTCGTCCCGCACGGGCTCTCAGGGGCGGTCGACGTGGCTGGTGCCGCAGCCAGACTGTACTCCACGGCGACACCCGCAAAGGTGGACCAACACGTAGCAAACACACCATTTGCGAACTCCCTTCCCGAGTAAGCTAATATCTAATCTAGCCAAGCAGAGAATGGGTCGCCCGGGACAGCCCTTTCACAGAGCAAAGACCTGCAACACCCACTGTACACAGAGAGGAACCCACAAGTTTCACCTGTACACGATGACATACGATGACAGCGTAGAAAAGACAAGCACGTACCCAAAGGCGCTGTGCAAAAATGCAAAAGCGCTGAAGAGTGCAAGTACCAGGTGCCGATAAAGGCAGGACAAACAGGGCTCAAACAAGGCGCAAACCAAAAAAGCAGACCGGCGCGGTCGTCACTCAGGACACGTCGTCCAGCAACATGGCAGCCCCAAAGGAAGACTGGTGCGGTCGTCCAACACACCGTCTCACCACTCCACCGTTTGCACCCATCCGGCGGTGAATGACATGCTGATGACATGCACCCATCATCGGTGCCGCGGACCCGATCTTCGGATCCTGAGATCCTGTTCATCAAACATATGAAGCACATCGCCTGCCACGATGGAGCAACTCGGACCTTTTCCACAAAAAGTCCTTTCTTGGACCATTGGGTGTACGGACGAAAAGCGGCACACGGACTGCGGGAATACCTTCCGGGTCTTGTGCAGGAACATGAGACTGCCTCCCTTCCAAGTCCGGTTCGTCCAAAACCGGTGAAACATGGTGAAACGCTAGCGTTTCAGGGTCCCATGTCCACCAAGCGATCCTTGAAAATCCAGTTTCCAGAGCGGGTTCGTGGGTTGTTGAGGTATTGCTGCCGTGATCTGCCATGTGTTTGTTTTTGAATAGACCTATATAGATGTTCACTTGTACTCGTAGACTGCTATCATGCTATCAAGAAACTGTGTGTATGCTGGTAACCGCAAGAATATCCTAGACGAGTGCCGCACAAGAGTGTTGTCCCACCAGAGAGTATCCTAGCAAGAGTGTCTTAGCGGAGTGTGAAGCAAGAGTGTCCCGCAAGAGTGGCCTAGGATCATGTCAAACAAGAGGCTCCTAGAAGAGTGCGACGAGCCACGTACAAAGAAGGTGGTTCCACGTGCTTTAAGAAGGTGTTTCACGTGTCCGATCGTCGGAGTGTCACAGAGTCTGAGATATTCAAGTTTATTTTTGCCTTCGGATTGGTGGGCGGCTCAATTTATGGCCTGGAGAAGGCCATGTCCCAGCTGAGGGCCCGCGGTCATGACCGTCATCGCAGTCGGGTCGGGTCCTAAGTTTGCAGCCGGGTTTTCCGATGTCTTTGAGTAGCAACATGTTTTTGCACCAGATTTAGTTGGTATCTCGAAGAATTTGTAGGTACTACGCTTTACCAGTTTGTTTGATCGCGCGGCTGTGAAAGAAAGCAACATGAACTGTTTGTCCTGAATAGGCAGATGGCTGTGAGTCAAAACCTGCAGCCACCAAATATCCCGGTAGATGTTTATAGATTGACCATGAGCATGGCAGTCTCTTCGGTTCATGTTCGGTTCTTAAAACCGACGTCAATGTCCTGGTTTTCGATCCACAGCATTGGGGCTTGCGCAGCCGGGGCGCGGCGCTTCTAGCGCCTCCATACTCTCTCTCCGATCGCCACGGTGGTTCGGACCCGACTTCTGGTCACCGCAACCATGGGGCCGCTTTGGCTCTTTTGGGACCACCCAGCACAGGGGTCACGAGTTCGGAGCTTCGGGTGAATGGTGACCCCCAGAGATTCCCCGAGTATATATATATATATATATGACACTGTATGAATACCAAAAGGTCCAAAGGTATGGGTGATTGGCTTGGCTGTTGTGGGGTGGTGTGGGGTGGTCTGTTTTGGGATGCGAGGATAGTGATCATGTCCCATGTTTCATTCTGCTCTTGGGAGTGAAGATCGGGGTCCACGCGCGGCACTGCCACTGAACCTAGCATGATGGCAGAGATAGCTGAGACCAAGCCTAAAAGTCGGCGTCGGCCGAAAGTCTTCATCACAACTCCATCACGGAAATTGATGTTTTTTTGAACAATGCCATGTGTGGAAAGCAGTCCCACCTCCCATGTTTGGTTTTCCCATCCTGAGAGCCAGCTCCTTGCGACCAGGCAGCCCCTGAACCATGCGGTTTTGGTCCGATGCCCCAGCCGACCATTGTGTTGATTGAACCACCTGGGGAGAAGATGTCCAGTAAATATGCGGCAGTACATATTCTATTTGATTCTATTTGCTGCTGGGTTGAAGATGTATACGAGTTGAATTTGCTTTAATACATGAGTATTAGTTTGGAAAAGGGATGTTGGAAAAAAGCATCAATCCGAAGTGTGTGCAGATGCTTTGTCTACTGAGCAGTTTCTTTTTGTTCGTCAATTTGCCACTGTATTGCTAGCTTAAAGGAACTACTGTCCCCGAAAGCCAACAAACTACTGCGCTTGTTTGAGCCAGAACTTTAAATATCAAAATTAATGAAGTGCAGCTTAATTTTACATTGGAGCGTGTACATTCAAAATTGTCAGGCTGACAAATACATACTACTAGTATCTTCTAGTATTTAGTATATAATATAGTCAAACAGTTGGGTCCTTGACTGACTGACGATTTCTTATCTTCCCAATTTGCCAATATATTTGATGTTCCTTAAACCCTGAACACTATGTCCTATAAACATAACGTGTTTGGCTAGTTGCCAAGTTCAACCAATGTTCAACATCAGTTCTTGTGTGAATCCAAACAACCTCAAAGTTCAAATGATTATATATAAGTAAGTAGATTGAATCTTCGTCTACTTGTGATTTGCATGACAAGTTACTTCTACAATTGAATTAACTTGCAACCCCTTTTTTAGAACTAATAACTCATTTATAAGTGCACGTCTAATTTCAATCAGTTCTAACGACTCATATGGTAGGATGTGTGGGGGGTACAGGGTCTATCCATAATTAGGGAGCATTGCAGTAAGTCCATCTTGTGTACATGTTTTTCCGTGACGGTTTGACCATTACCATGAATCAAGTCTACTGTTATTATTCTTGCGGTGCATATCCGAACCCTTCTGGCTGAGGAGCTGGCTAGCCATCGACGGGCGTCGTGGCCAAAAGGAAAACGCCGGAAGAAGTCCAAAGCAGCTCCTCAACTGAATTTTGGCACTGGATGGTTTAGTTGGGATGAACTCGAAACAGATGGAGGGACAATCAGGGACTACTCCCCTGCACATACCACACGGAGCCCTAAAACCACTGTGTTGGAGAGGAACATGGTCCAAACCACGGCAGAATTCCCAGGGCCCATGTGTTAAACGATCTGCGGTTGATGCAGCATTTGCATCATCTGCTCGACACTAGGGAGGTCATGCAGAGGGGGACTCGGTTGGCAACGCTGTAGGAAACAACTGACTGTCAACGCAGAGAGCCCAACCTTATTTTTGTGGTGACAGACAAGGACATGGTCGGGAAAAACACGTCGCTTGGACATATATAGAATATAGATGAGACCTGGCATGTTGTAGCACCTTCTGTGACTCATGGCCGTTGTTGTAGCACCTCACCCTCGAAACCGCCGTTGGCCGTTGGCACTGTCCACGCCGAGGTGAGGTCCGGTTGGCCCCATTTGCCTCACGTTTTGTCCACCGGACCGGCCTCCAAGGTGCGCTGGTCTTTGCGCTGGACCCCGCGCTGGCGCGTGTTTCGACAGACCGTGCGGGCGCTCGGCGAGCGAGCGGCGAGCGAGCGACGGAGTTGGCTCAGTCGATCTGACCGGACGGGAGGAAAGCGGGATGAGCAGCCTCACATGGTTTCGTTGAAATTTTAGGTTGGCTTCAAGTGCAAGTCCAACAACAAGTGGTTTTTGGATGTTTTTGGACAACCCGAAAAGCATCTATTTCAAGAGACTAGTTATTTATAGACATCCCATAGAGTGGGGTCCTGGGAGTGGAATTTCATATTTTTCTTGTAAGCAGAACGATGTTTTCTTTTTCCCATACTGTCCATGCGATCCACTTCAAATTCCACTTCATTGAGTGATTGAAGTGGAGTGTATGAATCACCTAGCCAGGTGTGGATGTCGAATGATCCTTTGGGTTGGGCGTGAAGAAGGATTGCTGTACAGGACCTTCTAGGATAACCTCGGTATGTTGCCAATAAGTAGCAGCAAATACAACCTTTGAGTATGTTTTCCGATCCAAAATCCTTGGCGACCCTAAACCAACATCTCACAGAAGAGACAAGTGGCGATGTTAGGGTCTTTTGGCTGCCTTAGC